TTTCGTGTGTTTTTCCGGTTTTTCTTCATTTTTGGTGTGCAGGTCGGAAGTCTTGTGAGGAGTTGATTATAGACCGGGCAATCATGGTTATGTAGATGGACTCGTTGGCTACACACAGGAAAAAACGGAAGTTGATTTCAAGTTCGGATGAATCCGAACGGAACAAAAACGCGAAGCCGCGCAAGTTACCGACCCTTTGAAAGTTGGAAATTCCACGAAATTTGTATTCAGGGCAAAAGTGTGGTTTTAAAGCATCATTGGATAGAGGGATTTGTTAGCTATGCGTAGGAAAAAACGGAACTCAATTTCGACTTCGGACAAGCCAAAACGAGCCAAAACCGTGAAGCTACGCAGTGCAGTCCGCGAGAATTTTCGGCGCTCGGAAGTCGCGGCCGTGGACCCTTTAGTTGCAGAATTCTCTTGGTCTTTCTTCTCTTTTCTTCCATTTTTACTTTGGTAGATAAATTGTGATTGATTTTTAGTTGAATTGTGGTTAATGTTGGTGAATTGTGGTTGATGTTGGTAGATTATGGTTGTTGATATATCTATAAATACTACCATCATCAATCCAAAACACCAATCCCTCACAATCCAAATTATCACAATCCATATTATCCTCTCATCACTTTCATATTAGTGTGTTTCTAGATTAGTTCTTGTGTTGAATTTTGGAGGTGTTCTCCAAGGCTTGTACTTGTTCCGGTGTGGCGTGTATTTATTCTCGATTTGGCGTTTGTATCAACCTTATTCATCAACATGGATTACTTGTAAGTTGTTCTTCTTCTAATGATTTGCAATGAATCTTACTTTGAGTTTATTTTTGATATGAATAGCTAAATCATTTAGCTAGGGGTAGGGAATAATCATTCCGGTTTGATCTCGTTTATACGCATGACGATAACTCCATCTTGACGAGTTGTTTTAATCATGAATTGATAAATTAAACTTGGTAAATCTCTATAACCTAAGAGTGACATTTAGGTTAAATCTATGATATAATCAAAGAGTGACACTTTGATTTGTGCTTGATATTGATTTGTTAAGTTAAAGTTTGTTAATTACAACTTGTAGAACCGAGAGGGGAGGAGTTGTAAAAATAATTGATTTCATAACCGAAAGGGGAGAAATTGATAGAACTAGGCTCGTTTAGAATAGACATGTTCGGAGACGTATTTGTGTTAATTGTTTCGTTAATTTGCTCGTTTATGTTTTTCCATATATTATGAGAGTTAGTATGGTTGAACCGCTAAATGAGTTAGTTAGTTGAACTACTTAACAGAGTTATTGATTGCCGTTGAATGAGTGTAAAACCGGAAGCGATTTATTCCTGATTCCCTAGCTTCTTTATTATTGTCTCGTTTATATTTTTCTTTATTATTGTCTCGTTTATATTTTTAGGTAGATTATTATTTTATGTTATTTCTTAGTTGATATTTTAGTTAATTATTATCCAACCCTATCATGATTAGAATGTGTAGGATTTATTTTTCTTTTATGTGTTATCAACATCAATTCTAAATTTCGAACAGTCTTCCTCGAGAGATCGACCCGGGAAACGAATCATTCGATTCGGTGCTCGGTAAAATAAAAATAATTTGTACACAACAGCTGCCGAGGACGCGCACTGGGTCCGTCCTCCTCGCGAGAATGGTGGCCTTCGCATTTGCTGGTATAAGGAGTTGTTCAGCAGCAAGTTCAGGTGCTGATGATTGATCTGTCAGTGCAATGGAGCAGTTTGTCAGCTTCAGAAGGTGATTGAGTTCCTGCAAAACGAGCTCATGAACAAAGAATGGAAGACAGAAATCACAGATTGAAGCAAAGGTCAAGGATCTGCAGTCCAAGGACCAAGAGATAAAAGATTTGAAAGCCATGTTGAAGAAGAAGGGATCCACTAATTTGTTTGTGTTTCTGTTTGTTTTTTCTGGGCATGGCTGTTGCCATTGAGTGTAATATCAACATTGCATGATGCCTAGGAAAGTAATGTACCGTGAGTTGTATGATGCAACTTTTGAATGTAATATGACAGTTATCTGTGTTGCTTGGTGAAATGGAAAACATGTGTGCTGTTTCAAAATTGCAGATTGTGTGTGTTGCCATTATGCTCACGTGCATATTCAGATCACACTGACAGATACAAGTATAACAATATGACAGATGAAACTGAACATCCAAGGCTAGATGGATATGTTTCATTACACAACATGTCTGCCATAACTTAGATAGTTCAAACATAAGTCTCACTTCTGTAACCCTGCACTAGAACCATGGCTATTTTACATGCTACTTGTTCTGTTACAGAAAGAGCTAGTTACTCCAAAAGTTGTGCACGTGCTACTTGTTGTAGCTGATGAAACCTGCTACTTGGGTATTTTACATCAATATTCTATTTTACAAACAAAAGAGCTGAGAACATTTGAAGACCATCAGTAGTTGTCTCCAAACAACAGATGGGCCAGTCGACTTCCACTTCCACTTCCACTTGCTCTTGCTGTTGCAGCCTGACTTGATGTAGGCAGTCGACTTCCACTTGCAGCTTGGCTTGATGTAGCTCTTGCAGCTTGACTGGATGTAGGCAGTCCACTTCCACTTGCAGCTTGGCTTGTTGTAGATCTTGCAGACTGACTTGAGGTAGGCAGTCCACTTCTACTTGCAGCTTGCCTTGCTGTAGCTTGTCTTGGTGCTTGACTGGCTTGGGTTGGAATAGGCTGGGAAGCACTAGGAGTGCTTGCAGTTGTCTACAAGAATTGAGGTTAATTAAATGGATTACAGCAGAATACAGTACAGGGTTTATTAGAATATGAAAAGGTTGTAGTAGTTCTTACTTCCTTTGTAGTTGATTTCTCCTCAACACTAGTCCCAACACTTGCTTTCTCTGCCTCCTTCCTCTTCCTGTTTTTTTCTCTTGTGATGTGAGCCATTTTCTTATTGCTAGCTTGGGAGTTCTTGGGGCACCTCCTTGCATTGTGATCATTTTTCCCACATAACCTGCACCTCATTTTAATCCCAACCTTGCTGAGCTTGGTTCCTTTAGGTTGTTCCCATGGCTCCCTCCTCCTTTGTGTCTTGGGCCTACCAGGCATCTTGACATATGGTGGTGGCAATGGTCTAGGCATGTCAGATATTGGCCAATTGTCTGGACCCTGTACTGGCATCAAAACATGCTCATATGTCCTCATGTATGCTGATTTGCTAAAACATAGAGCAATGTAGTCTTCCGGTTTGTGGGAGGATTTGTAGATTGCACTAATGGCATAACAGCATGGTAGGCCTGACAGTTGCCAATAATTACAAGTCCACTCCCTTGTCATCAACTTGACTATGTACTTCCTGTCTTCCCAGTCTTGCACTTCAAACCCATCAGCACCATTCCACAACACAATGCACTTCCCAGACAATTCAATGTTCATCTTGAGTTTTTGAAAATATTAGGACAAATATTTCCAGACCACTTCTCAGCTCTTGTCATATTTTCTTGAATCCTAACCATTACCTTCTTCCTTATGGCTTCACACATAGATATGACTGGGTAGAATCTAGCTTCCATGATACTATGGTTGAAACTCTCACACATGTTGTTATCAACTGAGTCACAATTGTTACCTAACCTGAAAAAAGCCCTGCTCCAGTGCTCTGGTGAGGTGGTCATCATGTCCTGGGCACCTTCTGGAGTGTCTTGAGCCAGATAAGCTCTGTACATGTTGAATAGAGTCCTGTTTGATGCCTTTGCACACCTCCACCACAATTTTTTGTCTGTGTACTTCTTCCTCCAGTTGGCATAGATGTGCCTTGCACACATTCTATGCTTTGCATTGGGAACTAATTCCTTTACTGCTTTCAAGAGTCCCTGCAAAGAAAATATCAGTCCAAGACTTGGTTTACAAGTGAATTTGGTAGTGTATGAAATTTAGGCACATTGTTACCTTTTGCTGATCTGAGATTAGAACCCAGTCTTGTCCTCCATTACTGATGGTCCTTTTGCAGCAAAGACAAGAACCAGTTGCTGCCCAAGCTACTGGATACATCTGGTTGTTTGCATCCCTCCCAATGGCACACAATAAGTTACCATTATTAGCACCTTTGAACCAGCAACCATCCAAGCCTATCACTTTCCTACATCCTGCAAGTAAGCCTTTCTTAAGAGCATAAAAAAAAAACATAGAACCTCTCAAAGATTTTCTTGTCCTCAATTTTAGGGTCTAGATAGACAACCACTGTACTCCCAGGATTTGACCTAAGTAGCTCTAGCTGATAGTCATACACTCTGCTATACTCCCCACTTATAGCATCAAGGGTTTGCTTCTGCACAATAGACTTAGCCCTCTTGCACTTTGAAAGGGAAACATCAGCAAGAAAGTCTTTGAGAACAGCAGCCTTTATGAGAGCAGCAGGCCAAGTAGGGTTGTCTTTGATCTGATTGTAGTACTTATTTGCAATCAATGATGAAGTAACTAAGTTGTTATCCCTCCTGGGTGGGCAAGTATGCTGATCTGAAAATGTCACCACCTTAAACCATTTTGACCTTGTTGTCTTTGACCCATATATCATCCAATTGCATCCAGGCCAGTCACATATAGCCCTGACCTTTGACTTCTCATCTTTGACAAAATGGAGTGACTTGTGTGCCTTCAGTCCATACTTTACAAGGGCATTCTTAAACTGCCTGCTGTCAATGAAAGCCATGCCAAGTGTGAAAACTGGAAGCTCTGCCTTACTGTCAAACCTATTCTCCAATGACTTCCACCTTTGAGTTTCCCCATCACTGTTCTCCTCATATGAATAATCTTCACTTGAATCAAGATATGGACTTCCAGGTTCATCTAAATTGGGTACTTCATCAACTAAATCCTCTGCTCTAATTTCTCCAATTGCACTGGCATGAATCCCTAACTTCGTTGCCCTGATGTTCCTCTTAATCTGCCTTGCATAGTTTCTGAGTTCAATAGCCTCTTCATCATTTGCAGAGCTGTCCTCATCTGATGGCTGCTTGTAGTCTTCATCAGATGATTCATCAGATCCCTCATCATGCACACCCTCTGCTTCATCTTCTGTAATTACAGGCCCTTTGCCTTTATCTGAATCTTTTGAAAGTGACTTGTCCACTCCATTAGTAGCGATATCTTGAAGAAAATCATTAACATTTGCTCCATATCCTCCATCATCACCTAACCATCTGTCCTGATCATCTGCATTGAGCTCCATTGTCACCTCCTCAACATACATGTCAACACATTGATATCCAATGTGCTGAGAAGCCATGATCTTGCAGGACTCGTCATCAACCAACAACACAAGCCCATTACTTTCATGCTTCCTAGGAATCAGCCAGTACAACGTCAATACACTTGATGAATTATAGTGATCAGAGAGGTGCCCCACACTTGATGAATTATAGTGATCAGAGAGGTGCCCCACGACCTCAAAATAGGAAAGTCTGTCCATATCAATCCAAGACTCAGCAATGTCTCCACCAACATAGAACTGCGAGCCTCCAATGGTGGTAAAACTACCACCATAGTGAAATCTGATGCAAATTTGGTCATCCATCCTGCCATTAACAGACACACTCTCAGAACAAAAGAACAGAAAGTATGAATTTTTTGGGAAATTTTCGAAAACCTAACACTCGATCGCTAGTAACAAATAAGTAAACAACATCAACACGACATGGAACATGCTCAATTAGTGCGTCAGAACCACACCCACAACGACATTAAACCCTAATCTCTGCCCGCAAGAAACCCCAATTTCTGCCCTAAACAGTACTCTGCAATCTCACACAACAAACATGAAAAACTCAAATCAGGTCTAAGCGGAGGAGGTTCTGACCTGGCCAACGTGCAGAGGTCCCTCCCTTCACCGTGCTGTGCGCCCGATCATCGCCTCGCCACCCGTGTCGCCGGAGATGGAGGAGAAAACGAGGGAGGTGGGAGCGCGTGGGCGGAGAGAGGAGAAAATGAGGGAGTGACTGACGGGAATGGCTTGGCCGGTGGCTAATTTCAGCCCATGGGCTTCCTGACGCGTGCGGCCAAGGGCCAGCGTGGCCGCGGTTGCCATGTTGGGCGCCACGTCGGCGAATACCGCCCTGCTAAACCGGCCAGGGGGCAAATTGAACTGGAATGCAAAGTTTAAAGTGCTAAACGACCGGTTTTGAAGGTTGGGCCATGAATTAGACCGGGTATGATAGTTCAGGGGGTTATTTAGACTTTTTCCTTTTTAAAGTTTGTTAAAATTAAGTCGCTCTTAGATAAGAAAAGCAAGGTTCTAGAGTATATGGCTCAATTTTCTGTAGAATTACCGATGCTTGAATATAACTCAAATCTTGCTTAATGCAGCATTTCTCCATATGGAGTGATGTTTTTGTCCTTCTTCTATTTCAATTCTACTCCATCTGTTAGAAACTGTCAGTTATTTTAATTTTGTCGTAAATCAAACTTGTCTAACTTTGATCAAATTTATATTAAAAAAAAATGTTAACATCTACAATATCAAATAAATGCACTACTCAAATACTTTTCATGGTTTATCTAATGAATCTAGTTTGATGTTCTATAAACTTGGTCAAAGTTATATATGTTTAACTTAGAGAAAGCTAAAATGACTTACAATTAGGAATGGCAGGAGTATATATTAGTAGTTATACTTTAGCTATAGTATTATAGTTTAACTGCCATCACTATCCTGTCACCTAACAACACAGCATCACAAGCGAGTTGATTCTACCATGACTTACATGAGTTTACTGTTAAAAAGATATTAATGATAACGGTGGGGGATTATACTAGCTACAGTATCAAAAAACAATCCTGTATTCTTGGTGCATGTGGAAACCATAAGTCAGGTAAGCCAGTATCATATCCTGTCATTACTTAGCTCTGTTACAATTTCAAAGGGCTGATCACATGTTATAATAGCAAGGAAGTAATTCTTCATTGCTGGATACAAATATTTGTTGGCACTTGCTTCCTGATCCTTTCTTTGAGGCTGGCCATACTGATTGATTAGTATTACTTATCATGGCCTTATGACCCAGTAGTAGACAAGCAGTGCCTTTGTGGTGACTTCCATGCTCCCACGATGAACCTGCGGTTCAAAGTTTCTTTCCATAGTCGCTTTGCTCTGCCAGATATGCTGTTTTGTATTGATGTTGATCTGACAATGATTTCTCTGGTTGTTTATCCTAATGAACAGAGCAGGAGCTTGAAGCAAACGATTACCTCCTGGCCATAATTTTTGGCTTTTATTTGACTGGGATTTTCTTGTACTATGTGATGGATAGTGTAAATCAAAATTCAGTTCACTATCATCCCCAGAGGGATGTATCAGTTTCAGGGGCTACTCAAAGTGTGACAACTAGTGAATCTTATGTGGTTCAGTCAGCTAACTCCTATGTGCCTTATCCGACATCAGTTCAGCAGGACTACAATGCCGTACAACATCCAAACCATTACTATAACTATCCACAAGTGGCAAATAATTCTTCTGTTCAACAAGGAGTTGATCAAGGTTCAGGTGCCGCTTACCAGCCTCTTACTTCGTTTCCGAATTCAGGATCTTATGTTAGTCCTACAAGTAACACATATTATACTAGTGGCCCTCATCAGACCGTGCCAGGATATGCAACAAGCAGTTACTGTTATCATCAAAACAATTCCTGGGTTAATGGAAGTTGTGTAAATAATCATGCACAGTCTTATCAGAGTTGCACCCCAGATAGTAATGTAGCCCAGAGTTCTAGTTCACTACCCACAAGCTCTATCCACTATCAACAGCAGTACAGCCAATGGGCTTATTATTATGATCAGTCTGCACATACTTCAGGTGGCCTTGCAATTACTGGCAGTGGTAGCACTGCTCCTGATATGAAAACTGTTAACATTGGTTCCAATTATGTACACACCAGCAACCAGCCACCTCCACCAGGCACTACATCATGGAAGAGTGATGTTGGTAACACTACTGCACCTCCCTCACAGGTAAATTTGTTAGTGTCCTGCTTCCTTTGCTTCTCTTTTAATATTTAGAGCAATGAACAAGTGGTTAGTTGTCCTTTTAGACAGCTGTCGCCTTGATTATGTGCAACCCTCGAGTTTCTTGTTTTGTTGTATATACCTTGTTAGGCCTGTCTGGGTCACTGTAATGTAACCAGATTCGTGCTGGAATTGAACTATAACTGTGAGGCTGTGAAACTCTTGTCTTCCAGAATCCCTCTTGCACATTTTCTTTCAGTGGTTTATTGTATGGGGGAACACATGTTCTATAAATATTTCTGTCATTTTCTGTGCTAGTTTCTATTTGTCAAATGATTATAGAGTCAAGAATAGTTTGCTTGTTGCCTTTTGCATGCAAAGGCTCCTGAACCCCTCCACCCCTCCATGCAGCTTGTCCTTGGAGCAATTGTTCTGTATGCTTCGCTTTGTTTCACTGCATATGCTGCAACCTCACCAACTTGGATTTTGCCACACCAAGGCAAACACCTATGTCATTCTATTAGCAGCATATATTACTGTCTCTGTCTCAAATTAGTTTTTGTCCTCTTCTGGTCCTTAAATTTTGTTGGTTGGTTTCCCTTTTCTGCAAGCTCGCATATTTTCTTTTGGCTTTCATTTCTAGCTTGTATGTAGCTTCTAGAAGTTGTCGTTCTGCAAAGCAAACTTAGAAGTTCTGCTTGGATGGTTTTTCTGATTCATCATGTGTCTATCTTTTAGTATTAAAACTTGGTCAGTAAGTTAAGAGTTTAGGAGTGTTTAGAGTCTATTTATGTTGTGTAAACTGATGGGAACGTTCAGTTGAAGAATAATAAAGAATTTTATCGAGTTTTCACTCTTATCGTTCCTTTCGTTCACGCTTGCTGCGTCAGTATGTAAGCCTAAATTTACAACATTAGTTAAAAGTATCATTAACTCAAATTTTAATCATACATTTATTTGCATCTGAATCATCCATATTATGCCACATTATGTTGTCATTGAATGTTGAACAAAAAAAGTTGTACAAATAACTTTTTCCTTCAAAATTTGTGCGAACTAAAATTTTGAAGCCCAGACCCAACTCATAAAACGTACTGTCATGCTAATAAGGCAATCAGAATAGTCAAAATTCAACTAAAATCTTGAAGCCCAGGCCCAACTCAAAATACTACTCCATTTTTCGTCAGGCTAACAGACCAACCAGAAGATTTCCAGCCACAAGCCCAAATCGTCATCGTATTCTCATCCCACCCGCCGCAAACCCTAATCTCGTCTAATGAACTAATTACTAATTAGAAATACTAATTAACTATTATCTCGATTAACAATGGTCTAATTGTTTGTACCCAAAAAA